TACAGATTTTGTAAGTAACTAAACTTTTAAAGTCAATTTTTCAGCTATTATTTCCCCTCAGAAGTAGGCAGTTTCAATACTAAAACAATAAAAGGTCAAAGGTGCTTTGAGGTACTAAGTTAAGCAACCTATGAAAAAGTAAAAGCCATCACTTTCATGAGAGAAAACACAAGACTATAAACTTTACTGTTGCTCCTTTTGTGCAATTCAGTGTTTTGTTATGCTCCCACATCCTTAGAAGTTAGGGTGGGAAAAGTGATAAAAGGAAAAATTATGCAAGTATTTTCCAGCAAGAAAATCTGTATTGGGAGCAAGGCAGAAAAAGTACATGCAAAGCATCTCTGTGCTTGGACTAAACAGATTCCTCTGCTTTTTAAGGCAGCAGTTCTCAGACTGAAGGTACTGATGTGCAGTACTCACAGCACCAGTGTGGCCCAGACATGCAGTCACGTGTCTGTCAAATGAACTGGGATACAGTACAGTCGTTACTGCAGAACTAGTAGGTATTTGAACAAGGCAGAATGAATTTGTATTGGGTCAGAACCATTGTGACCACAACAGGCTGGTTCAGTGGATGGGATCAGAAAGCTGCATTTATTTTACTGTTGAATTACAGCTTTGGCTGGATATAACACCTTGCTGAAGTCTCGGAGAGACAACCCATCTTAGCAGCTGCCAGTATTAAGCAGATATCAATCAGCTCAAGAATCTTCCTTACACAGCACAAGAAAACATAGTCACAGTACAAGCTGTGGTGCGCACTATGCACCTTCACTCACCTCTTTCAGTTCCTGGGCAACAGAATTAAGGCGTTCATTTTCAGACTGGGTGTTGGCAAGGACGTTTCTGAGCTGCTTCAGTTCTGTCTGCAACTCCATAACCTTCTTCATGTAGTACTCTTCCTTGGTAGCCGATTCCTGAATCAAGGTCTCCTCTCTGCTCTCTCCATCTGCTGCTACTTTCTTGTGGTTGGTATGGGCCTGCCCAAAAGCCTATGACAGTCAGAAAACAAATCTTTTATTAGTAAATCCAGAATTTTGCATAAGTAACTTCCATTTTAAATAGTTGGAACTATTTAATCTCGTATTTCTTTGATGCAAAATAATGCAACCTTTTCCTACACCCTCCTCTTCTGGGATCAGACCTTTAAATGCTACCAAGGGGCCAACACAGGGCTCTTGAAAGTAACACGCAGCACCCAAACAATGTTTTCTGATGCACAGGATACTTACGTAGAACCTCAATCCTTGTGGGAGGGAACAACGGTGTATTGATTTGAGTCTGCTGTTAAAGCAAGACTTTGGTTTTCGACAAGACGACTGCAAGATGACCAGACACCTCTGTATGCACATATTTTCTATAGTTGGGTCAGCCTCACTTCTGCAAAAACTGAAGCACTGAAAAAAGATTTAGTATTAACAGCCTGTTCCATTTCTTAGGCTGGGAGCACACTTACTCTTCCTGATCCAGCTATACCAAAGAAACATATCACCACCCTCAGCTGCTCATTACTGGAGATTACTGCCCCCTCAAACCTGCTAACTCACTGCAGCCGCAAGTGAGTGAGGTTAGCAGGGCTACTCCCTAACCAGGTTAAGCTAACCTGGGTCATTCTGGCTGAAGTAGGTCAGCAGACACTCACCCAACCAGCTCTGCTGCCTACACTTGGAGACATCATCTCTAGCAGCATGCCAGCAAAGGGACTTAGAGGCAGGTCACAGAGATCTAACCTCTCCAGCATAGGATGCCTCTGTTTAGACCTGTCATTCTCATTTTTTACCTCCTCCTGCTTCTTTTTGTGGGTTTTCATTTTGCTTGAAACTCTACCAAGTGGTGCTCCTAGCAGGAGTGTTCTCCAACACACAAGCAAGCAGCCCATACAGACACTCCAGCTGCTGGACTGCAGTGTTTAAGAAACCCATCAGTGGCTTTCACTAATAGATGTTATAAAGCAGAGTTTAAAATTAAAGTAGGTATGTATTTGTAAACACACAGCCTGGCAGATGGACCAAAGTCAATGATATTAATGAATGCTATCTTTTAAACTGCTGCATGTGCACGCACCACAAGCCAACCCAAGATGTATTTGGAGCTTTCAGGTGCCACAGCATGTTTTGGGATGCCAGTGTCCATACGGCAGGTTTTCATAGCCAACATTAATACCAGGCATTAAGCCAGGTCAAGGACAGATCAGCATCTCATAAAACTCCTTGTCTAGTCATGCATTACATTTTCAATTAATCATCTTTTGCTAGCTCTTCAGAAATATACTGTCAGTGGAGAAAAAAAAATCCGCTTTGAAGAGAAGCAGATTTCAGTATTTTATTACTTCTGTATATTAGACCAGATGCATTAATAGTACAGTAATTATTGAATATACCAGGGCTGAAACAGATGATTGAATGTGCTAGCTCTGCCTACAGTTAAAGACACCCCTATATTGCTCCTATCAGACTAAATTTTATTTCAGATAAGCAAGTTAGTGATACAGGAGACAAATATCCATTGAAGAAATTCTAGGCAGATTCACTGAGATGACCCAAGGGAAATTAAAAAGCGTCACATTTCAGACAGAAAGTAAAGCACCATCTGTGCAAGTGCTTGTCAAATGAGTTTCAACAAAGCAGCTTAAAAGCCTAATACCTAAGATCTACATAAATGTTAAAGGGATAGTAAAAACTATGCAAGCTTCTCAAATACACTATCTTTTTTCCATAAAGAATTAAGATCCACCTTTTATAGACCTGCATTTATTGCAAATCTCTGACAGAGAATGGGACTCTGGGCATCCATTTGCCCAGTGAAGCGGCACTGTTTTCTTGGTAGCAGGATCCCAATGCAGAGCGCATTGCAGCTCAGGATACTCAAAGCCGCATCTGATCAGCCAGACAGCAGAGTCCAAGCATGATTCAACTGAGGAACTCGGTAATACCGCTAAGGGAGAAATTCTTGAGAATAGTGACTAATTTGCTCTTATAACTTTCAATGCAGATGCTAGGCCTCGAGTTTCTTTAACAACTGAGAAGAGAATGTCATCATTTTGCAGAAGCCACTACTGACAGCAAGTATATAAACACAGAAACCGGCATAGCAGATGAGACTGGGCTTTTTTTTTTAATCCAATATCCTGTCTTCTACAGAGGCTAATGCCAGATGCTTCACAGAAAGGTGCAAGAAACCCCATAATCTCGCAGAGCTGGGTATTGCCTTAAGCCTTGAAACAGAATGCTTAATGTAAATTTGAAAGACCTATTAACCTTTAGTTACCTATGTAAAATATCCCTTCATTTTTCATGGCTTTATGCATTTTTGGCCTCAAAAAAATCCTACAGCAACAAATTCTGTATTTTAAACTATAGTCTTACATGACAGTTTTTTTACAAGTTTCCCACGTTTACATAAAAGAGAACGTGTTTTTCTTCAGAGACATGAAGGTGTGTTGTTATGGCATGATCCCCGTCAATCATTCATTGTTTTTAGAGACTTCCATCACACCCCTCTATTCCCTGGTGAAGGCGAGGTGAAGTTCAGTAAGCTATCACCACTTTTATGTTTGAACATTTTTTTCCATGTCCTAAGACAGTCAGAGTCCCTTTTCAGAAACTGCCTTTTACTACAGCTTGTCCCAGATGGCAAGACTAATCCAACCAAAGGGGAATTGCAGATGTCAACTCACATAGACCAACTGTGGAAACGAGCTCATGGATCACTCCTACCAAAAGATGCTGCTATTCTTTGTGGACTCCAGTTATTTCTGCACAGCAAGGCTGTTCTTTGCTCTCAACCAGCAAGCTTGTGAAGTTTCAGCAGAAACCCTACATTAGCTTGACAGTATTACTGTTCGGGGTCAGGAAGCTGGGTACAGAACCGTGAATAAATGGACGCTGACACTACACTGAACACAAGAAACCTTCTTAACAGACATGGTCATCAGGACAGGCAGCCTGGAACAACTCCATCTGGGTGGATTTATAAAGGAACACTTAAAAAGCACCTCCATTCTAACCAAGCTTCGTTATCTCTCTTATACATACTTAGAAACGACCTCATACATTCATGTGACAAGCCATTTTCATAATTGCAACAGCCTGCGTGGAACAGGAAATTTAACTTTAACAAAATTCTGCAAAATCACAGGGCAATGCAATTACCTTCCATGGCTACAGCCCAGGCCTGTTTTAAATCAAGCTATTAAAAGGAAAACTGTCTTTTTACTGATATGCATGAAACCCATAAACCTTCATATACCCCAAGGTCCAGCATCTACCCATCGACTTTTGCTTAAACATTATATAAAACACAAAAATAGAAGGCAAAGTTACTCTGCTCTTCCTCCTATTCCAAAACCTCTATTTCTATCTAATAAGGCAGCAAAATAGGGAAGAAAACTGAACAGTTAGAATAATACTCTTTGGAGTACCATCTCTTCACAAAATAAATGAGTTTCTCAAAACTCATTTGCACACACCTTGCTAGATGTGAGCACTGCACAGCATCACGTTCTGCTGAACAGCTGCCTCAAGGAATTACAACAAGACACTAATCATAGAATCTTTTAGGTGGGAAAAGACCTTTAAGATCATCGAGTCCAATTGTTACCCTAGCGCTGCCAAGTCCACCAATAAACCAGGTCCCTAAGCACCACATCTACACATCTCTTAAATACCTCCAGGGACGGAGACTCAACCACTTCCCTGGGCAGCCTGTTCCAATGCCTGACTACCTTTACAGTAAAGAAGTTTTTCCTAATACCCAACCTAAACCTCCCCTGGTGCAACTTCAGGCCATTTCCTCTTGTCCTATCACTTATTACTTGGGAGAAGAGACTGACCCCCATCTCACTACAACCTCCTTTCAGGTAGTTGTAGAGAGTGACAAGATCTCCCCTCAGCCTCCCCTTCTCCAGACTAAACAACCCCAGCTCCCTCAGCTGCTCCTCGTATGACTTGTTCTCCAGACCCTTCACCAGCTTCGTTGCCCTTCTTTGGACACGCTCCAGCACCTCTATGTCCTTCTTGTAGAGAGGGGCCCAAAACTGAACACAATATTTGAGGTGCGGCCTGACCAGTGCCGAGTACAAGGGGATGATCGCTTCCCTAGTCCTGCTGGCCACACTATTTCTCATGCAAGCCAGGATACCATTGGGCCTCTTGGCCACCTGGGCACACTGCTGCCTCATATTCAGGTGGCTGTCAACCAACACCCCCAGGTCCTTTTCAGCCAGGCAGCTCTCCAGCCACTCTTCCCCAAGCC